CTAGAAAAATTTTGCTGTGCTCTTGGGCACGTAGCCAGCTCCCTGTACCTATAGCCCCGTAGCTGTTTGCCACGGCCTTTTTTAGAGGTGACATGAGGTCACGGGGCAGAGCCCAAGCCGGCAAAGTGCTCCAACGCAGCTCTCGGAGAGGGTGAGCCGCGGCGGGAGAGGAGAGTAACAGCACCCTGCAGTTGGGAGGTTGCTGCCATAAGAAGGGTCAAGGATGACTATGGAGCAGGTTTGAAAGTGGGAAGGAAAGGGGATTGCTTAATTGGAGGCCATTTTGGTGGGGACAGTGGGCAAGGCAGGCCTGTTATAAGCAGGGACAACCAGAAGAACCAGACAGAAACTTCGTCAGAGTAAAACCAGCAGCTTCCCCCTCCCTTCCCTCTTCAGGTGCTGGTGGTGCTGGGTTCCAGGTCGTATCGTTTGTGTCCGGCCAAATCTTTTGCTTTGTGCTTAATGGCGACGGAGGCATGTGTGAAAATCATTGTTGCAGAGAGCTGGCTGAGATCTGGAGCGATGCTAGAGGAGAATAAAGGCTGGAAGAAAGGCTGAAAATTACATCTAAAATACCATTTCTGAGAGTATGCCACACATTTCTCAGTCAGATTCACAGACTCTTGAGTCTGGTTGTTGTCTGAGTCCTGAATACTTCAATTTTTTACTCCATAACAGCTTATATTTTTTTTTCTGTCATTTCACCTGGACATGGTGTCCTTCATTCCTTGTCTTTATTTGTTACAGAGTACAGCAGCAATATTACAATTAGGTATTTATGGCAGTGGTAACACTTTAGCAGTAGGTAGCCAGCATGCAGGCAATGAGCAGGGAAGATTTCACATGCATGCAAGCATGTAAACTACCACTCAAGTCAAGTTAAAACGTGTCTGACCTTAAAAAACACACATGTGATTATGTTGCTGCGTGTCCTTTGCAGTGAACAAAACAGTTCAGGATCCTTAACTATGAAAGCGAACATATAAATATAAGCTACTACTATTGTGCAAGGAAACCTCTAAATTGGTAATTGTACAGAAATTATGGGGAGAGAGGAAACATCAGTTTCTGCTGAAGTGACGACGTGTGATTTGCACATAGTGTGCCTGTTCTCAGCAGTGGCACTGGGAGGCACCGAGCTCTGCAAAGGATGTTTCTAGCCCCATATTCACCACTTTTAGGCCTAGTTCAGGAAAACATATTTATTGGTGAGTCTCTAAAGCGGGAAACTCAAAAATACATGGTTATTTAGTATGTCCTTAATGATCCACTGGAGCCAGCGTGACTTTGCAACAAAGGAAATTCTATTTCAACATATGGAAAAAAGTCTCAACGTGCGAGTGGTGAAACTTTTGAACAGGTTGCCTGGAGAAGCTGTGACATCTGCCTCCTTGGAGATTTTCAAAACATGACTGGACAAGGACCTGAGCAAAAAAGTCTAACATTAAGGTTAACCCTGCTTCGAGCAGAATGTTGGGCTAGATAACTGCCCCCATTTTCCTCACACCAAGGTCTCTTTGAAATTAAATCGTTCTATGGTTTTATAACTTCAACTCCTGGTTACATTTAAGCATTTGCCCAAGATAGCGACTTGCTAGGGAGCAGCTCCATCCCATGAAATAGAGATTTTCTTTTACGATAGCCTTTTAATACTTTGCGTAGCAAAATACCTTTCTTGCCCTCTTCATCAGTCTCTCCTCCATGCTAGCACTCCTCCCCTCATCAAATAATTCAATTTAACTTTGCTGCACGTGGAGCAAAGTCACTGTGTCCATTGGGGAAGCTGCCTAGGCAGGGGGGAGAAGACCATATCTGAGAGCATGAGGTGCACGGGTACAAACACGTCTCCCAGCTCATGCAGCTGAGATGGGAATGCTCCAGCTGGGTGACAGAAGCTGTTGGAGAAAATCACTGACTGCAGCACCACAAACCCAGTGCCTCTTAACTTCTGGCATGAAGGTGTGAGATTCTCCCCCTCTGTCTTGGGATGGGGAAAGGGCAGGAGAAGTTGCACTGTGTGGTTTTCTTAGAAATACAGAGGGAGGGAGGTGATAGGGGAGGGAAGATGAGGAGCCAGAAAGGCAGGAGGAAGATGGATGTGTGCGGGAGTGTGCATGTGGGAATTTGTATAGGGAATGGACAACGTTACATGTATTTGGGGAAATGTCATCGTATGAGTACATATGAAGGAAAGGAGTCAGGCGTGTGGGGAACAGCAAGAGGCCTGTCCTAGTTTCAGCCAGGATAAAGTTAATTTTCTCCATAAAAATTAGCTATTAATCGCCAGTCCCCTGTGCTTGCCATGGGTTTGCTTTCCTTATGTATATTAGAGTCTTATGCTCGTTAGTCGCCCGGGCTGGCGAATGTCATCGTATGAGTACATATGAAGGAAAGGAGTCAGGCGTGTGGGGAACAGCAAGAGGCCTGTCCTAGTTTCAGCCAGGATAAAGTTAATTTTCTCCATAAAAATTAGCTATTAATCGCCAGTCCCCTGTGCTTGCCATGGGTTTGCTTTCCTTATGTATATTAGAGTCTTATGCTCGTTAGTCGCCCGGGCTGGCGGATGGCCGGGGCATCGCTGCTTTTTCTGTGCTGCTGTACTGGACAGGCTGGAACTCCAGTGTGGACTCGAGTCGAAGGGACTGTGACCTGTGGATAAGTCCATGTGGGAGCAGGACACCCCGAAGCGTCTGTGGCCGTGCATAAGCCCATGCCAGAGCAGGTATATCTCGAAGCATCTGTGGCCATGGTTGTGTCTGTGCCGCAGCAGGTGTACCCCTGATGGGATTGTGGCACAAGGATAAGTCCACGCTGGAGAAGGTACATCTCAAAGAGTTTGTGGCTGTGGATAAATCCATGCTGCAGCAGGTACACCGTGAAGTATCAGTGGTTGTGCATGAGGTCATGCTGGAGCACCTCAAAGTGTGTGGCCATGGAGAAGCCTTCGACAGTGCAGGTATATTCCTGGAGGGACTGGAACTATGAGTGAGGCCACGCTGAAGCAGATTTATCTCTGGAGGCATTGTGGCCCATGGAGGAGGAGGCCATTTTGGAGCAGATGCACCTCAAAGTGACTGTAACTGTGGATAAGTCTATGCTGCAGCAGATATACCCCTGGAGAGACTGTGGCTCATGGAAGGGACTGCAGTCTGTGGATAAGTCCAAGCTGGAGCAAGGGCAAGGGAAGGAGTTCATTGCAATGTTAAACCCAATGATCCAGTCCAAAGAGCCCAGGAGTGGAGACTGTAATGGAAATACCTTTAAACTGTTGTAACCCATGATTTGAGTTGAATGTTTTAGGAACTACTATAGCAGGAACCATCTGAACCAATGGAGGACAAGCCTTCAGAGAAGCAGGGCAAGTGCAGCAGTGATCTGACCTGAGCTGGCTTTGGTGCCCAGTAACTCCACACAACACAGCACCTCACCTGTACTAAGTGACCACCATAAGGGATGAAGCCCAAAGTCACGGACTAAATTATCTCAATGGACATTTCACGAGCATTTGTGGACATTTCACAGACATTTTACAGGGATGGTCTATGGACTAAGGGGACGATAATCTGTGTATTCTATCAAAGGATGGGAAAGGGGGTGGAGGTCAATGAGGTTGTATGGGATAGTGTGGTACTTGAGCATAACGTAAATGGTATGGAATAAGGGGCAGATAATGACCTGGTTTCAGCCAGGATAGAGTTAATTTTCTCCATAAAAGCTAATGTGAGGCTATGTTTTGGATTTGGGATGAGAAAATGCTGATTACGTGCTGATGTTTTGAGTTGTTGCTAAGCAGTCAAGGACAGTCCAGCTTCTCGTGCTGGCCTGCTGGCAAGAAGGCTGGGGGTGCACGGGAAGCTGTGAGGGGGCACAGCCAGGACAGCTGACCCAGGTTGGCCAAAGGGATATTCCATACCATACAACGTCGTGCTCAGTATATAAAGCTGGGACAAAGAAGAAGGAGGGAAAGGGGGAGACGTTCGGAGTGATGGCATCTGTCTTCCCAAGAAACCGTCATGCATGATAGAGCCCTGCTTCCCTGGAGATGGCTGAACACCTGCCTGCCCATGGGGAGTGGTTAATGAATTCCTTGTTTTGTTTTGCTTGCATGCACAGCTTTTGCTTTATTTATTAAACTGTCTTTATCTGAACCCACAAGTTTCCTCACTTTTACTCTTCCGGTTCTCTCCCCTGCCCCACTGTAGGGGAGTGAGTGGGCAGCTGCGTGGGGCTTAGTTGCGGGCTGGAGATAAACCACGACAGGCCCCAAGTAGTGAGACCTGTACTAGAGAAAATGGGCTCTCTTCCTTATCAGTTCTCAGGTATCATAAGAAGTTTACAGGAGTAGTTTTGGTCCAATAGTGACAAACCTGACACCTCTTAATAAACAAACAAGGACTTGAAATTAAATTAATGTGAAAGGGACCTTAGCAATAGTAGAGGGATACAAACATCAGTTGTGTCTTCGGATTATGAAATGTCTTGGCACCTGTTCTTATTTGCTTATGTGTATTTTTAATTAAGTAGAATTTCATTTGATAGCCCATTAGAACTACATCCAAAAGGAACTGCTGGATGCCCCTTACCAACTGTTTCTATGCTTCTCTCCCATAGCAGGGTGACCTTTGCACTGTGATCACTTATTGTAAAATAAGCAAGCTACCTGTAATTGGCTAGTCTAGTGTTGCTAAACTCAGGATTTTTGCAAGACACCTTTGCAGTCCAAAGTACCTTAGCTTCCATTTATTGGCTTGTGTTCATATGTGCCTGTGCTTCAGAGAATGTTTAATCAAGGATGAAACTGCCCCTTATCCCAATCCCCACTAATTTAATGCAGGAATACATAATTTTAATAGAAGCTTTATTTGTGCATGTGAAAAAACACTCTGCCTTTCATGTGAGGGACCATGAGAGCAAAGAATGGGAGAAGCTGTCAAATGACTCTGCTGCTGAAGGACGAACTGCTTGCAGAGCTTACTTCTGGACTGAGTTTTTTCTTCTATTCAGTGTCTTCCTCCTTTGCCACCCATTGCTAAGGACAAATACAAAGAAATGTGTGAGAACAACTTAAAAGCAAAGTTGCAGGGAAACATACAGAATATATGAGCATTGCTTACAAATGTTCCCAGGTCAGAGACCAAAGGTCTGTGTTACACTTTGAAAGACACTTTTTGAAATTAAGAACTTCAATTCTGTCTCCAATTCTCTGCCAAACCCCATAGGATCCCACTACCATAATTAGCATCCTTACTGACACATTCAGGTATAGCCTAGTCTTCCTCATACCTTGCTTTGATTTACCTAGACGTGGGCTGCATTAACATGGCAGGGTGATGAAGAAAACTTGTGGTGTTCTCTGCTTTGAGCTGGTTAAGTGCAGGTAGATCCCTCTGCTTTTGACCTAATGAATTTCCTTTAAAGGAAAGCTAAGGTCTTCTAAAAGGTCACAACAAGTGGACTAATGATTCCTGTCCGTCAATCTGATAACTGCATTCTCATGTTTCACTGTTTCCTCCCACTTAATCTGTTTCGTATGTTCAAATGTGAAGCTCTTGGTTTGGTCCTGAATTTGTGTTTGAAAAAAAATTAATGAACTTTCACTGTGGTGCCAATGAAAGCATAACCTAAACTTCCACTGGCCTTTTTTCTGTCATTATGTCTTTCAGATTTCTCTATCTACTATCCACCCACATCTTTGCAACTTTGTGGCATAGTTATTTCCACTAATTCCCTAGTTTCAACCTCCCACCAAGTAGAAAGCAACACACAGGAGAAATGTTGCTTCAAGTACAACAACGCAGCCATTTCTCTTATTTACAACCCTTCATCTAGTAAATGCACGCTTGAGCTGAAATACTGCTGGCTTCTCAAAAGTCATCTGTTAATTCATCTTTATTAGGAAGACTCTCACTTACAGATGGACTGGACAGTGGAAGTTGTACCGCCCCTGGGAGTTTCGCCTCCGTGAGATCTGGCCTCCTGGGACATCATCTGAGAGGCTTGGGATCCACTGGAGATCCCACTGTTGGTAAAACCTGATGAATGGGCTGAGCTTCTGGCACCTAGAACAGTTAAAAAGGAGATGTTACTGACTGGAAGAAATTTTACAGAATAATTACAAACTACCGTATTTTAAAAAAATTCAAGGCTAGCAAATGTATCACAAGACAAGGACACTGCTGGTTACTTGACTTGTTCCATCAGTGTACCGCTTTTTAGCTACCACCTTGGGGAAAGGACATGGATGTTCCCAGAACACAAAGAAAATCTACGACTCTTGCACAGACTGTTTTTGATAAAATTGGATCTCCAAAACAGTTTCAGCACAGTTTGCTGAAATTGCAATTTTCTGAGGAGCTGCCCAAGGATTGTGGAACAGACTCCTACAGTAACTAAGGATTGTTGTAGACCTCACCACTTACTGTTACAGGTGACAGATATGTTCCTCTCACTTCACTTTCCATAGCATAAACCTACACATAACAGATAGTTGTAAAATTCAAACACAGCAAGCTGTGATAGCCAGTGGCCAATTTATATGTATATCTCTGTCTCAGTATAAATAAGCCCCAAGAAAAGTATTTCATTGCAAACTCTCCTTCTCCTGGGGGAGCAGTAAAGCATTAGCGACGACAAATGTTAGTGATAAAGCTTAAAGCATTCCTGGAGGATGCTCAAATATTTTGGTGATGAGCTTGTTATAACATCTTCTGTAAAGTGATACTGAACAATACTCATGCCCTGCTGCAGAATCAGCTGCTCCTTCGAGCGTGTTTGTTCTGGGGGGAGGAAGGGTTACAGTCTGAATGAAAAGGTTAAGAAGATGTGTTTGAAGAGCAAGAGACTTCAGTGAGCACCTGCGGAAATGAAATCAGGCCCTTTTAGCTCTCAATCAGGCAAAGAATCTGTGGCAAGCTCTCTTGCTGCAGGGAGCCAAAACTCACACCTGTCTTGGCAATGCTACAGAGCTAACATTTTTCACATGGATAAAAGCTCTGTTGGAGTATCTCCTGTAGGCATGGCTAAGCTTGAGTCATGCAGATTTCTCTTCACCAAAATAGTGGTTTTCATAAAAGCCCATAGTTGATAAAGAAATTGCAAGAATAAAACTAGGTGTTAACTGATTAGTTTGCTTCTCTCTCTTCTAAAGATTCTCAATACAAGCCTTCAGTCTTTTAGCATAGAAACTGCAACTTCATGCTCCCTATATGGTACCACTGCTGAAGTTTGCCACTGGTTATGGGTGTGCTGAGTATTGCTGTACCACCCTTATCTGTAACAGAAGACAAGATGGTGCAGCTAGACTCTGCTCTAGTGTATGATTAGACTAAGTAACTGGCACCTCCTGTGTACCAGGATCTTCGCTGCTAATGCAGCATGGTGCCTGAGAGAGGCTATTCCTGCTCTCTGCTCTCTCAGTCCTTCTCTCCTGACTATCTCATATTCTGTCCCTCTGCTGCTACCATCCCTTAAGTTCTTTGCTATTGCATATCCCATAAATGCTGTATTCAGTAACCTAAACTCACTGATCAAATCATAGAGAGTAAAAATTAAAAAATGCCTCACAGAAGTCACATGCAGTATCTCTCTATGTCACTTATTCCTTCACTGCTATGAACAGTGTTGGCAGCAACGCAAATCATACCTTAAAAAAAACAAACAACAAACTTATTTCCTCTCAATCAAGTTTAATGCATTTTTTACTATTAAAAGATGCCCCAAATCTGCACCCTGGCCATCTCACCTGGCCAACCACCCACTTTACAGCTGGAAGAGTCAGGTTCGGCTCCATCCTTCAGTAGACTTCTAGCTGCTTACTACAAAAGGAGTAGACCAGTAGTTGACCAATATGGCAGAGATCCCCTCCTATAACCAGCCTGCTGGTTAGCACACTCCCAACATGTGAGAGATGTGGTTCCAAGACCCCTAAGGCAAAAAGGGTTTCGAAGCCTTTATCGAAGGTCAGTGAGCTAACTATTGTGCTGCTGGGTGAGGCAGGATTACATGGGGCACTCTCTTCTGTGGAGTTACGCCTGTGAAATCAGGTCACACAGGCAGGACTGGCAGGGAGAATCATTATGCATGAAACCCATGGGATCTGGGGTTAAACAAGTGCCAAGCTGCTTAGAGTCGTCAGGTCAGGGATTGCTCTGTGCATGCAACGGAAAAGCAAGCACCTGCAGGGCTAGCTCATCTGAAAGCCAGCTATGCCTAATTTTAGTATTTAGATACGTGCCGTCAAGGATGTGTATATATTCCCTTTGTGAATTCAGCTCTTGGACTGCAGCTAATTTCCCTCTGCTATAGTGTTTGCATAAGGTTTTACCTATGGATGTGTGTGAGTAAAGAGCAAAGGAAATCTGATGATTTATATTAAATGTAGGTACACAGATCATGTTCTTGCATAAGTGTATTATTGCTTATTGCTACCATGACTTTCTGTATTATTGATGATTCCAAGCAGAATGGAGAGGTAGCACAAACTTCAAATAAACACTGTCCTGAATCTCATGAATACTACATATGTATGTGTACATTCATGCATATGTACGTATGCAGAAAACACCCTTAATAGCATCCCACTCATGCAGTTAAATATAAGAATCTTTTGTCTTCAGTGGAATACAGGAATGCAGAAGAGAAGAGATTACTTGGTAAGCTTATTTTCAAGGAAAAAAATATATTGTTTGGCCCTATGCACTAAACCAGAAAACCACACACACACACAGAATTGCTCATACCCATTTCTTGGAGAGTAGCAGTAGGGCCTCCAGAATGCACGCCTCCCCCAGATGCTCTTGCTTCCTGGGACATCATCGACGAAGCAAGTGATCCTCCTGTGATCCCGGAGGAAGTGAAACCAGCTTTGTGGATGTTTTGGTCAGACATTTCTTTTTCTGATGGTGTGGAATCCACTGAAGTGTTGCGAGCATCAGCCAGTCTTTTTATATGCTCCCTAGCTAACAGCGAAGAAATGAAACTGCTACCATGAACAGAAAGAAAAGAAACCAAAACTTATCCTCAGCCAGGAAATGAAACTGAACTTTATGAACATACCTTTTTATTGAAGTTGTCAGGGTGAAATTTAGGCAAACTAACTGATTTCCTCTTATGACACTAAAACAAATTAGTAGCCTATGAATCATTGATTGGCAACTGATACGGCTGAGAACTTTGCTTCTTCCTTCTTTTGCATTCCATTGTACTAAACTGCATCTGTAGAAGATAGCCCCTTGTTTTAAAAATTAATACAACTCCGAGTAAAGACAATAGACAAAAAGGCAGTATAGTGATGGTCATGTGGACAACCTGAGTGGGTTATAGCACCCAGAGGTCAGCTGTGATACAGCTACCCCAGAAAAAACTGGTTTACAGAGAGCCGAAAATCAGAACTCAATTAACAACGGATGGTTGAAATTAATTTCTTTATGGAAGGAACTGTTAGGGGACCTTGCGTCATACGAGCAGATTGGCACAGATGTTTTCTTCTTCCTCATGCAAATCCTGCTAAAGCAGAGCCTCCATCTTTAATGAACAGGCCTTTGCAAATGGCACACACTCCTTTATTGCAGTTTTTCTTAGCCGGTAGTTTAAATAAGGCTGTTTAAAAATCCATGGGCCTCCTCCCTTAGGTAAAGAGGAATTTCTGATTAGGTCGCAATACCACAGGGATGGTTCTCAAAGTGGAAATATGCAGAATAAAAATATAGCATCTATATCTACATCTATATCTTGTACACGGTGGGTTATAGCACAAAGAACACAAAGTCTGTCCTTCTCTTCGGCACTGAGGCACCGGGCTCTGGAGCGGAAGATGGTGCTGGGGGACCCTTCCTCAAGCAGCAAAACCACGAAGGCAAAAGCGCAGGGAGGGGGCCCCAGCCCCACCCCGAGCCAGCAGAGTGGTTTCCTGGCGAGCGGCAGCTCTGGCTCAGCGTCGGAGGGGGACAAGAGCGGCAGCGGCCAAAGCCCCTTACGTACAAGAGCAGCTGCGACCCAGGCATGGCGTCGCAGTTTGTGCTGTCCCCCCCGCCCTGGCACTAGAGGCTCTCGACGAGTGGCCATCTCCCTCCCAGAAGAGGCCCAGCCAATGGTCTCCACTTGGCCGAAAGCCATCGCCA